TGAATAGTCGACTATTCGTAATGAGACATAATGATGAAATGAAAAGAACGAAAGTGAGAAAATTCATCCTTCTGTCGCTTCGTATACTTCACATTAAACGTATTCGTTCTATTCGACTTCATTACGGTCCATCTCTAATCGGATCCGATGCGTCTCCGACGAATCCGGATCTAGTAGGTTTCTACGGTGGATTTCGCTGAATTCTATTTGATCCATCCCGACGGAAGCGTTGATCTGGGGATGTGTCCGTGTCGTATTGAAAAGAAGGATATTATTGTTCTATGAGGGCTGATGTACTCATGTGCTCTCTTGCAGTCTAGTTTTGAATCGCTTTTAATTTTGATTTTAGATGCCTCACGAGTCGACTGTTGATCCAGAAGAGCCCATGCATGAAGTAAATGCTCCATGTAAGTAATTCATCTATTATACACAGATTTGTTATTTGTCTCACATAATCGATGCGTCATGACTATACTTGTATTTTTGGTCCTGTTTCTTTACCAAAATAATTCATACTATATTTATGCATTTTAGGGGGTGGCACGCAAGAGTCTATTAAAGATCGACGTTCAACCAGTATAGTTGCCAGTGATCTATTAAAAAATACAATTCATACACATCCCGATCTTCCGACACATATTACACATGATCATGATGTTGACAGTGCAGCTGGTAGCGATGACGATTTGGATAATGTTGCGTCGGATGGCAGTCGGGATTGTATTCCACCAATTGGCTAATTTTATTTTTACTTTCAACGATCTTATTTTTTTTCTAGTCAGTATAATGACTTTTCAGGAAAAATGGATCAGTTTTTATTTGAAGTTACCTTTGTGTTTTGCTATTTTGAACTGTTATCCCTGTATTTTTCTACTATTTGAAACGAATGTCTGTTTTTTTCAATAATATGGATTTTAGTTTTTTAAATCACTTTTGCTGAACTTTAATTTGATAATAGCCCGTTAATTTTTGCTTTCTTGCTTAAATCTGATAAAAGTCTGTTTTTGTTCTTTTCTCTTTTATGCTGATAAAACAAAATAAATAGGAATTTATAGTGCACAGAGATTTTCTCATATCGACATTTATCACAACTGTTTGACCTCCTGTTATTTCAGGTGTACAGCGACTGGTGATTGTAGTCAATTCGAACTCACGGATGTTTGGCTTTCGACCAAAAAGAATGATAGTGTAACTGAATAAGATGCTATTGTCCGTCCGTGAAATAAAACTAATAAAAAATAGAGTGAATAACGAACTGACTTACGGACTTTTATCATAAGAAAATAGAGATTAAAATATCCAACAAGTAACAGATTTTTTTTAACAAAAGAAGTTGAATGAGAATCAACCACGTTTTCGAAAAAAAATAAACACATTTATTTTATATATAAGGACAGTTTGAATAGTTCAGTTTTTCTTTTCCTTAACATGTTTTAATTATTTAACAACAATATAGATGGTGTATACTAACTGTAGTGATAATGGATCGATATCAGCGTATAGATTAATGTAAATTAGTGTTTTCGTTCTTCAAGCAAAACATACGGGCCCAATATCAATACCAATTTCTTGATCTTTTTGTCCAAAATCAATGATTTCTATATCGACAATAGGCAAACGAACAGCTTTTGTTGTTGCGACTGATACAATTGTTTGACTAAGTGAATTTTTTCGGTGCTAGAAGAAATAAAATAAAAATATTAAAAGTAATAGAAGCTAAAGAACCCTCGTTTTGTCCGTCTGTGTGATGAAATTGTGTATTTCTATGATTAAACGTCATAGTTTTTAACAAACACCGCACTTCGTTCTACAGACTTTACGTGTCGAGCAATTCAAAACAAGAGTTAGATATTAGTGCTATCAGCAATGAAAGAGAAATGAGTTTTCGCACGAACAATGATGAAAGATTGAGTGATAACAATGTGTCCATCGATGAAAATATATCTATTCGTCTAGTTAACCGAAATCTTTGTACTGAGATTAGGAAGCTCAAAAATGTACGCAGTAAGGTTTTTCTTAAAACGATTAAGAGCCAATAATTTGATTAGAATATTCTTTTTTAAACTAACAGCAGCCATAGACTAAACTGAAATCTATTTTATTAAAAAAGATCTGACGTTTCAGACTCTTCATAGTCATTTTCAAAGAATATTATAGAACATTACTGTACTTTACGCATGAAATGTTGTGAAAAGGAAGAAGAATTTTGTCTGTATATATTGTGTATTACTTGTAGACAGTCAGTAATTA